TTCATCCAAAAGAGCAGATACCCAGTGGCAGGAGCTTTGGAAGTTTCAGAACTGCTGAGAACTTCTGGGAAACAGGAGGGCAAAAGGCAGTCCCAAAGTACAGAGACATAAGGAGCTCACACATCCTCCGCCTACATATCAGCCATGCCAAAGGTCCAGAAAACAGACAATAGTCAAACAAAGAAAGGCAGTGGTTGCTGGGGGATGTGCGTGTGGATGCACTGACATGCATGTGTGCATGTGTGCATGTGTGCGTGTGCGTGCGTGCAAGTGTGTGTGTGTGTGTGTTGGAATGGAGGGGATATCAATGGGCTACTACTTCTCAGCGTGTTTCCAAGAGATAAACATAACAGCTGTTGGGTTTACACAGCTCATTAACCTGAGGAATGCACTGGGTAAAACTGTTATTAAGGCAGCTGGGTAATTAAGTTTTCCCCCAGCAAGGGAGGGAGTGGGAGATAAATAAAGCATTTAGGGGAGCAGACACAACGTTGGAGGAGACATTTTCAGAAGCAGAAATCAGGGCTAGAAAGCTTCCAGGCAAAACGCACTGGTCCCTGGGGAGCTGAAGCAGCCCACAGGGCTGACCGGAAGGGCACGGCTCAGCCCCTGCCAGTAGAGAAGCCCCTACCTGAGAGAGACCATGATGAACCCACGGGGTCACACAGAGCCCAGCCACCTCTGAGAAGCAGGCGGAGATGCCAGAGCTGAGCAAACACAAGGGCCAACTAACCCAACTCCTTCATTTCACCAATGGAGAAATGGTGGTCTAGAGAGAACCCAGGAGCTAGCAAGGTCACATCCCTCATCTCAGTGTCAGAGCCAGGATCAGGACCAGAGAGTCCCCACCCCCGGGCAGGGCAACTTCGGCAACCGTAATTGCCTCCAGATTCTCCCACAGTCCACTGCAGACCAGATTGACAGCGGCCACCTTGGGAGCAGAGTTGATTTCAATAAGTATGCGAGTGGGTATCCTAATAAGGGAGGAATTGCTCAGGAGTGTGATTCACAGATGGGGCGGCCTCTGCCTGCACACACAGGTGCCAGGAGGAGGGTGTGTAAGGGGAGAGAGGATGTAACATTTAGTGTCTTGCAGACACCAGCCAAGGTTACTTGGCTCATTCCTTTTTTTTTTTAATGGCATTTGACAGTTTCTTTCTTTCTTTTTTATTTTTTTTTTAAGATTTTATTTATTTATTTATTTAAGAGAGAGAAACAGCATGAGAGGGGAGAGGGTCAGAGGGAGAAGCAGGCTCCCCGCTGAGCCGGGAGCCCGACGTGGGACTCGATCCCAGGAGTCCGGGATCATGACCTGAGCCGAAGGCAGTCGCTTAACCGACTGAGCCACCCAGGCATCCCTGGCTCATTCCTTTATACGGTCCTCGCAACCACTCACTGGGCAGGGTGCTGTTGTTACTGTCATTTTTCAAATGAGGAGCTGACGCTGAGAAAAAGCACAGAAGAGAACAAGGATAAGGGGGCAACATAGACATGCCTTGAGCTTTAGGGAACAGTGAGTCTACCCAGAGGTTAGTTAGGAACTAAAGGAAGGAGGACAAGGAGACAGGGCCATTTTGGGAAAGAACAGCCTGGGCCCAAGCTTGGATGGTTAAAGGGCAGTCAAGGCAGGCAGGCCTATGAAGGGCAAAGTTAGGGGAGGGGTACCCCAAAGCAAAGCTGGCCAAGTCCTATGTCCATTGCAAGGGTTGCAGTATGGACCCCAAAACCACAGAAGCAAGTCCTCAAGGCTGATAGGATTTAGCCGCTGAGACCAAATCAGGCAGAGGAGGTAGCAAGCGAACCGGAGCCAAACTCTGAGACTGGGAGCTGGGAGAAACAATTTCGGAACTGGAACGAGTCCCCACTGCTCCTGCAACTCCCATTCCACTGAGTGCCACTGGGGTTGAGGGCAGGGGAATGAGCGGTGCAGAATGTCCAAGAGTCGTAAATCTCTGATGCACTTGCATTCATGCCACACCAGTGGGCAGACAGCAGGTGCTGGATGAGGTCGTGCTTGGCCCAGGGCTCGCAAAGTCACGGAAATAGAACAGAAGCACTAACCAGAAGCTTCAACTTAAAGAAGGTGTGTATGTGGGGGCAGGAGTTGGTAGGAAGGGGTGAGGGAGAGAATGGAGAGAGGCAGGTACCAGGAATGCAGCTCTGCATCATGCCTCATCTCCAGCTGGGGCTGCTCGGTACACCCCCCATCTCTAACTCCTCAGAAAACTCGACACCTGTGTGTTTCCATTAAAAGTCTGGGGTCCCGGGGCGCCTGGGTGGCTCAGTTGGTTAAGCGACTGCCTTCGGCTCAGGTCACGATCCTGGAGTCCCGGGATCGAGTCCCGCATCGGGCTCCCTGCTCAGCGGGGAGTCTGCTTCTCCCTCTGACCCTCCTCCCTCTCATGCTCTCTGTCTTTCATTCTCTCTCTCAAATAAATAAATAAAATCTTTATAAAAAAAAATTAAAATAAAAGTCTGGGGTCCCAGCACACATCCAAACCCTCCCAATAGCACACAGAGGTAACAAGCGCCCCACAGGAAGCCTTGTGAAAATTAAGGGAGATAATTTCTGTAAAACTCTTAGTATGAGGTCTGGGACACATAACATGTGCCTAATAAATTACAGCTGCTATACGTAACATTTGATAATAGAATACATTAAACTTAAAAACTGAAATTGGAAGTCAGCAGAGTTAAAATCCTGATTCCAAATTTTCATCACACAGCCACTTCCGTAGCCAACGAGGGTTCAGGGAGAACATCTGCACAGAGCACTAGAAGGGACTGTGTGCCTTTAGTGTGTGTCTTCCTTGCTGTCAACCAATAGCCTCTAGGAGGTTAGGCAGGTAAGAGAGGGAGAAAGGGCAATGGAACAAGGGAGAGGTGGCAGGTAGGGGGGACAGAAGCTGGCTCTCAGCTGTCAGCTCATTCCCAAAGAAACTTGGGGCCAGGAGCAAACCTCAAGACCCTTTCATCTAACGCTCACTCATGGAAGAGGAAGTTAAGGCTTAGAGAGGGGTAATATCTTGCCGAAGATCACACCACAAGTTAGTGGCAGACCTGGAACTACACACTGCATTCAAGATGCCCTATCTTCTACTCTCAAAAAGAGGCTGCATAGCTTTCTTCTCCCTTACAGAAAAGCGGGGGGGGGGGGCAGGGGGAGCCAATGTGTCTCAACTTTCACAGCAGCAAAATAGCTGAGATTTATCCATCCCCAGGGTTGCAAAAGTCTAGACTCCTCTTTTGCAAGCACCGTTTTGTTCTCAGGGGGCTGCTTAAGAGCAGGGAAGGGACGTGGCAGCCTGCAGCATCTGAGAGAGGCAGAGGGCAGGCCAAGGTGAAGCCAAAAGTCCAAGGCTCCAGGGACAGAGGCTGTGTAGACAGGGCTGGGGCTGAGGGGACATCCCAGCACAGGGGCTCTGTATTTCTCCTTGCTTCCCCTCCCAAAAGGCAGGTCAGCTCGAGGAAGGAAGTCAGCAGAAGTCTCCCCCAAATTTTTAGACATGGCTCAGTGGCCCCCGATTTTGAGGGCATGTGGAAAGGGAGCAGCGAAAACCATTCCGTTGCCTAGAAAGCTCAATACTGCCAGGTCCCCTGATGCTTGTGGAGTAATCTGGGCCCACAGGGAGTCCTGGCCTTATGCCGGCCATCTTACCCAACACTGTCAAAGCGGCTTCCCCACATCCAACTGGGTGAGATGCAGAAACCACAGTGATCTCTGCTCAGCATCTCCAAAGCCACTACTCAGTACCATCTGCCATTAAAAGTAGCCAAAAGATCCCTGGAGACTAGAAGGGCAGCAGGGCCCAGAGGCAGTATCAGATGCTACCTCCATCGTCCCAATGACAAGGACAGTCTGGAAAGAGGACACCACGGAGGACCCAAGTCTCCTTCACGGCAATCAATCTCTCTCACGCCCCTTCTCTCTGTATTTCTTTCTCTCTTTCTCTGAAAAGACTAGAAGACTCAGGGAAAACTCCTCCCTCACACATTCCTTTGTCCAGACCTTTGGTTTCAGGGCAGAAAAAATGGCCAAATGAGACATGCAGTCGGAAAACAAGGAAACACTAAGTGGTTTCAACTTTGGTAAACACAAGGCACCAAGAATGACCCCCACCTTGTTGAAGAGAAAAGAAAAGAAGCCAACGTTCCTCCAAAAAAGGTCCAGAGGCGTGTAGAAGACAAATCACAACAGCTCTTTGAAGAACTCAGTTGCCTAAACGGGGAATGTTAACTGACATACATCAAAGTGTTTGGGTTTCTAGATTGTTCAGCTCGCGTTCATTACGTATCAGCTGAGTCGCTGAACCCCCTCGCTGGCCTCATCGCTTCCTTGTCTATCTTGCTGATTCATGTCCTCTAACAGCAGTTGGGGTGTTTACCACTTGCCTGAGGGGACCCACAAGGCTGAGAGGTAAGTAAGTTGGCTCTTCATACATGGCAATGGTAAAACACAGAAGGTCAACTTCAGCCTACAATCAAATATTCTCCCGCTAGCTCTGTCTATACTCATTTCCCAACACTGGCCAAAGAGATGGTGGCAAAGAGTGACCATGGCACCACTCAGTTCATCCCATGGCAAGAACACAACCCAGTGCACACATCCCACCACCCATGCTCCATCAGCCTTGACGTCGCCCACCACAGATGACACGTACACTCTCCGATCTAAAAGATCAACATTCATCTGATCATTCCCAAGACTTGAAAAACTGTCCTACCCAGACCCGAGGATTGAGGAAAGACTCCAGCTTTATCAAGCAGAAGGGAGAAGAGAGCCATTCAGCTAATCCTGAAGACGTTTTCTCTCGCCCAGTGAAGGAGAAAATCCTTTAGAGGCAGAGATCTGGCCTTAGGCTTTTCTTGCACTCCCCACAGTGCATGCAGCGGTGGCTAGCCCAAATACACTCTAGGCATTGTGTGAACAAAGGGCAGGCTCACCCACCCCACTCCACCTTGTTTTCTCCAGTCCTGGAGGCCATGGTGGTCGGACCTACCTCGCCATACTGGGTGCAGTAGGTCTCAGGCTTGGTCAGTCCGCAGGTGGACGAAGCTCGGAGAAACCGGGTCCTCCCGATGAGCAGGTCCCCGACAGGGGGATAGCAGGCCCCACGGGAGCAGGCTTGCTGGGCACACAGGAGGCCGGGGCAGACTGAAATCACAGGGGTGTTGGGGAATAGCCTAGAGAGAGGAGGGCCCCACCAGGCCACCCCAGTATTCCCCCAGGGAAGCATAAATCAGCAAGCCTAGCCCCTTTCCCTCACGCCTGCTCCCACTTGGTAGTGGCGGTAAGGACTGGACTCCTGATGCTATCAGGTAAAAAAAGCTGATTTCATGTTCTGTAACCTGTAATTTAAAAAGGAAAGGAGGAGAAATGCTGGCCACCAGAAACCCTGGATGATCCTGAAATGTGGCCTCCATATGTGGCTTTTAGGATCAAGTTGCAGGCACATGCTCAGCCACTGGGACACACTCCTCAATCCCTTCACTTGCAGCCTGGCCTCGGTCAGCATCTGGAGCAGGCCTTGCTGCTCACCATCTGTGCAAAGCTGGGAGATGCCGCCATTCTTTCTGCTCCTTTCTCTGCAAGGTGGACCCAGCCACACTTTGTGAGTGCCCGGCTACAGTCCACTATAAAACCCAGCCGTGATGGCTCCGGAACCAGCAAGGTAGTGAAAGGCTGGGCAATTAGCTGTGCAGGCCACTTGGGGAACCACGAGCCACGCTCAGGTAGGAATAAGAAGACACTTGGGAGCCTCTCAAGAGAGGCAGAGAATCGTCTTTCCCAAAGGCCCAAAGGAGCAGGGAAACCCCACTGGGGCCCCAGGAGACAAGTGTTCTAAACTGAAGGATGACAGAGGGACGGATGATGCTCACACTTTGGTTCACAGTCCTCCTACCCGTGGCTGTCCCCTCCCTGCTATAGAACAGGGCCTGGAGGGATGGGAAGGGGACACTTACCAAAGCACAGGAGGAGAAGCGGCCTCATCTTCAGCCACTGGGGCAAGCCCCTCAGAGGACCTCACCTGGGACAGAGCAGAGCAGCTTGGATAAAACAATACAAACCCTAAGGCACACTAGCCCCCTTTATGTAGGGTCTCCTCCAACCTAGGATACTTGTACGCAGCAGGTACTTCTGTAGCCAAAAGTTTGGAAAATGCCAGAGCCCTGGACCCCTGTCCCCACTGGCATGTGACTCACACTGTACCCCCCCACCCCCCGAGACTTCATCTTCCCCCTCTGAGATGGAAGGGAAAGAGGGTTGGCCCTCCCCGGCCCACATAGTCGTAAGGACAATATAGGGAGCAGGGGCGCCTGGGTGGCTCAGTTGGTTGAGCAACTGCCTTCGGCTCGGGTCAGGATCCTGGAGTCCCGGGATCGAGTCCCGCATCGGGCTCCCTGCTCGGC